TGTAACTCCAGTGACTTCTGACATAATAGTAATAATATTACTTAGTGCTTATTTTTACAGCACTTTTTTTGCAGCTCATGTGTTAATTTGTTTCTGTTTAACTGTCCATACCCTCTATTCTAGTCTAGACTGACATGTTCATCTATGCATTCCCTCACTAAAATCAAATTACACAGGGCAATGTATTTCATTCAGTTTGTCAATTTATTTATATTTGTTATTTACTTGAACAAAATCTCATCAGTCCAAAAGAATCCAATCAGATTTCAAAAATGTTTAAGTTGTTTATACTGTATGAATTAAATTTTTTTTTAAATGACATGAATCTAGAAAAATGCTAATATATTTGTCAGAGTATTCTTTCTAGCAAACATGTAGCAGATATTCAGTCTCCACCACCACTTTCAATCGAAAAGTAAATAAATTATTTGAGTCAAACTCAATCGGATTGAATGAAGGCTTTCCAGTTGAGTCTGCTTGAGCCATCACTCCAACTATAAACAGATTATCTGGGTTGCATGTAAACATACAGTAGCAGCTCTGCACCAAGACGAAGTTTATCTAATATTTTGATTCCAGGGAATTTATCTGAATCAAATATTTGAGACTGATAACAAAACATACTTACAGTCGCTGATTCAGAAGCGCCAGATTGTCATAGCAAAGTCAGAATTGACCCCTTTTTTTTTTAATAGCCTTTGTGCACAGCCAGCCAGGGGCGTAGCAAGCTTTTCAAAAGTGAGGGGGATGGATGTGGTTTGTTTATTAACAATAAAAACGATGAATACAGTGACAGAGGGGTACAAAATGTATAACAATCTTCAATAAACAAGCTACAGGTAGTCCAAAATGCAGCGGCTAGAGTCCTTACCAGGTCAAGAAAATATGATCATATTACCCCAATTTTACAGTCTCTGCACTGGCTACCTGTTAAGTTCCGTATCAGTTACAAAATATTATTACTTGCCTATAAGGCCCTTAATGGGTTAGCTCCTGCGTACCTAACTAGTCTTCTACCACGCTACAATCCATCACGCTCCCTAAGGTCGCAAAATTCTGGACTTTTGGTAGTACCTAGGATATCAAAGTCCACTAAAGGAGGTAGAGCTTTTTCGCATTTGGCTCCCAAACTCTGGAATAGCCTTCCTGATACCGTTCGGGGTTCAGACACACTCTCTCTGTTTAAATCTAGATTAAAGACACATCTCTTTGGCCAAGCATTCAAATAATGCATCTCATAATCTTTTACTGCAGTCATACTCTTTTACTGCAGTTATATCTAATCAAATGCACATTATTATTCGTTAGTTTGGGTTAAACAAATCATTTTTGCTTGGTTGGAACAGCAGCTACGCTAATTATGTTTGTATTTGTTTCTCTGTCTTTTGCCACGGGATTAACATCCCGTGGTAACTAGGATTTACACAAGCTTCAGTCTGGATCCAGAACACCTGAGAAGAGATGATGCAACCCCTCAGAGGACCTCAGATGATGCCAACCCTGAAACAACTTACAGAACTACCACATTTTGCTATAAGTTTGATTGCATCATATAATAATTGCTGTTAATATTGTTCATCGTCTGTTTTATTACGTCTTATATTGATTTTTCCGTTCTGCTGGTTCGTCTGGTCAGAGGAGAACTGGCCCCCCGACTGAGCCTGGTTTCTCCCAAGGTTTTTTCTCCATTCTGTCACCGATGGAGTTTTGTTTCCTTGCCGCTGTCGCCTCTGGCTTGCTTAGTTTGGGACACTTCATTTCCAGCGTTATCGTTGACATGATTGCAAAGATATTATTTAAACTGAACTGAGCTGGATGTTGACATCACTGAATTCAATGATGAACTGTCTTTAACTGAAAAATGAGTGTTTACTATTGTCATTTTGCATTATTGACACTATTTTCCTAATTAATGCTGTTCAGTTGCTTTGACACAATCTGTATTGTTAAAAGCGCTATATAAATAAAGGTGACTTGACTTGACTTAACATATCAAGCTTATTTAAAAACCTCGAAAGCATAAACACTCATTCAAAGTACATGTAAATAACCATTGAGCGACTGTAGTAAGGCATTTTTGCAAAACTGCGGAAAAACTGCAGAAAAAGTGCGGGTGTTGAACCCTCTCACCGGGAAAAGCAGCCAGCCTTGTGCTCTTCTAGGTTCAAAAAACTGTCGTCCATAAAATGCGTTGCACAAATTCGAACATCTGGGTTGTGCTGTACTGTTGTAAATAAATCTTAACCAATGATTCCTAATTGCATCTACTTCCGGAAGGCCAAATAAAGTGCTTTTGCTTTCGCACTGAAATACAGCGTCTCCCTGACATGCTGCTTCAACACTAGTGCGTTCCTGAAACCACGCCTTCTTTCTTTGCGTGCACATTTGGGTGGCATTATTCTAATATTTCCACATAGTGAGGTAGACATGTGGGGGCGTGTTAGAACGAGCCATTTTAGGTAGGCGTGGTTGATTCTTAACTTTTATAAAGAATATTTCTTTGGATTTGAGACTTCAGTCTTTGCAACTTTACAGATCTTCTTTATGCACCAAGAGCTTGTAACACTCCAAAGAGAAAAGAAAAATTGAAATCGCATCATATGACCCCTTTAATAAAAACAAAATTAGAGGCTGTCTACCGCAACCATTCAATATTTGAAACTATAGCAAAGGAAATGGTCAGGTGTGGCCACAGGTGCTCATATGTACATGACAAAAGAAAAGCTCTCAAGTTAAAATATAAACAAGTAAAGGATACAAAATAAAACACATGGAGCAGTGCTGTAGGAGCATCACCTTTTCAGATGGTATTGGATACATGCCATATAAAAAATTAAAAAAAAAAACATTTGAGAAGAAAATCAGATTTAAACCACATTCAGCTCTGGTGCAAATGTAGCCTTGATTTCACACATATACTTGCTTTCTGGTGCAATTTAAAATAGGCAAACCATTTAAAACTCTTTCTACAGAAAGAACAAGAATAGGGTCTCACATCTGCATGACTCTTCAGGTGTATCTGTAAGTGTGATGGTAAAATAAATTTTTTATTACACTGATCACAATTAAATCGCCTTCCTGCAGAGTGAATTCGCAGGCGATTTTTAAAACTGCTTCTTTTTCTAAACATCTTGCCATACTCTAAACACTGCTGTTTCTTTCTGGAATGAGTTTGCAAATGACATTTCAGGTCTTTCTGATTTGTGAAACTCTTCTCACGCTTAAGACATGCATGAGGCCTCTCTGCGGTGTGAAGCCTCATGTGAGTCTGAAGATTTCCTTTCAATCTGAAACTCTTTCCACAGCAGTGGCACATGAAAGGTCTCTCTCCAGTATGAATCATCATGTGAGTCTTGAGATTTTCTTTACGTGTGAAACTCTTTCCACAGTGGTGGCACATGAAAGGTCTCTCTCCAGTATGAATCATCATGTGAGTCTTGAGATTTTCTTTACGTGTGAAACTCTTTCCACAGTGGTGGCACATGAAAGGCTTCTCCCCGATGTGAGTTATTACATGATTCCTAAGGTCTTTCTTGTCGGTGAAACTCTTTCCACACTGATGACATGTACAACAGTTCTCTCTTGAGTGAATCCTTGTGTGCCTATTTAAGGTTACTTTGTGGCTGAAACTCCTTCCACACTGATCACACGTGAAAGGCTTCTCTCCAGTGTGAACTCTCATGTGATACTTTAGATTTCCCTTTTGTGAGAAGCTGTTCCCACACAGTTTGCAGGTGTAAGGGTTCTCTCCCGTGTGACTTTTCAAATGAGCATTCAAGGTTAGTTTGTATGTGAAATTCATTCTGCACTGAGGGCACGAGTAAGGCTTCTCTCCAGTGTGAATTCTCATGTGAGTTTTGAGACTGCCTTTATTACTCAAACTCTTGCCACAATGACGGCACGTGAAAGGCTTGTCCTCTGCATGAATTCTCATGTGATTCTTCAGGTGCTTATTTAATTGGAAACTCCTTTCACACTGCTGGCATTTGAAAGCCTTCTCTCTGGAAGCCTCTCTTAAGTGGGAATTAAGGGTTCCTGAATTTTGAGCTAGATTTCGTGCAGAAGTATTTTCATTCTGTGAGCAACTAAACGATTTTTCTTCAGTTACGAAATCATGATCTTCCTCTTTCATTTCATTGAATACTTCACGCTCCTCTTTCAATGCTACCAGGTCTAGGACAGAAAGAGACAAATACAAGTTATCCCCAGTTTAATGGTACAAAGCAACACACATGATAGCATTTAAAACAGAAACTAACATGTATGCTGGATCTCATACCCACTAAACTACTGAAATCTATACAATCGGTTTAAATACAAATAAATGGCACTTCAGGTTCAGCTTCTGCTCCACCTTTGTAGTGAAGTGACTTGTAGTGTATTGTTGATAAAGATTTCATTTGACTGGAAATGCTCTATAGTATAATATTATTTGAATTAATGGATACATTAATATATATAATGGATTTGATTACATTTACAATTTGAACATAAAAGGTCACGGATACAAAATTAAAAAAAAATTGCCCATCTAAGATGTTCCTGAAAAATAAAAAGTTACTCTAGTTTTCCCTCTTTCTTGTCTTCTCTTTTGTTAGAAAAACTTAGTTAATTAAAGTGTAATCCTTAAACGAAGCTTAAAAAAGCTGAAATCAGGCTTTCAAATAAGAAAGTAGAGAAAGCTCACATAAGACTTATTTATTGCTTGATTCCATGAACATTTACTGCTATTTAAGTTCAGGCATGTTAAAGGGTTAGTCCACCCAAAAATGAAAATTAGCCCACAAATTACTCACCCTCAAGTCATCCTAAGTGTATATGACTTTCTTCTTTCAGACAAATCCAGTCGGAGTTATATAAAAAAATTGTCTTTGATCTTTCAAGCTGTTTAATGCCACTCAGCAGGTGTTGCATGCATCAGTCCAAAATAAGTTAAATAAAAAGCGTCCATCCATAAAAAAAAAGTGTCTCACATGGCTCCGGGGGGGATGGTGTATATGACTTTCTTCTTTCAGACGAATCCAGTCGGAGTTATATTAAAAATTGTCTTTGATCTTTCAAGCTGTTTAATGCCACTCAGCAGGTGTTGCATGCATCAGTCCAAAATAAGTTAAATAAAAAGCGTCCATCCATAAAAAAAGTGTCTCACATGGCTCCGGGGGGGATGAAGGCCTCCTGTAGTGAATCGATGCGTTTTTGTAAGAAAAATATCCATATTCAAAACGTAATATTCACTTTAATCTAGCTTGCGCTCACTGTTGTACACGGAAGCAGCTCCGGCGGATGACGTATGGAGGTCAGCTTTGCGCATGCGCCGGTCAGAAGTGATGAACGCGGAAGCGAAGGGGAGAGATCAAAACAAAACAACGGTCACTAATTAGAAGTACAAAACGAGGATTTGTAACGAAGAATGTTGGAGGATTTCGATGTAAACCAAGAGGAGACTGGTTTTCCCTTGCTAAAGTAAGGAACCTTTGCTTCCTTTGCTCCTGTTAACAAACATTGGTTTTCACGAGACTCATCAGCGCATGCGCAAAGCTGACCTCATACGTCATGCTCCCGGAACTGCTTCTGTGTACAACTGTTGGCGCAAGCTACATTAAAGTGATTATTATGTTTTGAATATGGATATTTTTCTTACAAAAACGCATCGATTCGCTACAGGAGGCTTTTGTTCACCCCCCGGAGCCATGTGAGACACTTTTTTATTTCACTTCTTTTGGACTGATGCATGCAACACCCGCTGAGTGGCATTAAACAGCTTGAAAGATCAAAGACAATTTTTAATATAACTCCGACTGGATTCGTCTGAAAGAAGAAAGTCATATACACCTAGGATGCCTCGGGGGTGAGTAATTTGTGGGATAATCTTCATTTTTGGGTGAACTAACCCTTTAATGTTAGTATTATAATAATTTGTATGTGGGTTGTTGACATGACATAGCATTTTCACTCACACAAGTGAAATAATATATAAACATGAATATTTCACATTTTTGAGCCAAATCTCAAAATTATCCTATGGTGTGACTGTCTCAAGCATGGCATATTTTTTACAAGTGTCTTTTTTAGTAAACGGCAATAATTTTTTCATACATACATTTCTAAAAGTGTCCTCTGGTGTGACACCATATCCTAATTTTAAATCGGGCAATTCCACAGACAACTTTAATTAGCTGAAGGACCCAATTCAAGGTCGCTGCTGTGTTATTACATTTTTTACATTTTTGAGCCAAATATCAGAATTGTCCTATGGTGTGATGGTATGTCTCAAGCATGGTTCAATAAATTACAACTTAAATAAATTAAAAGGAAAAGCATAAAAATATTAATAAATACCTCAGGCATAGTTTTACAAGTGTCTATTTACTATTTTCTTTTTTCATTCATGTAATTCTAAAAGCGAAGGAACTTTCATTTTGTCAAACCATGTCCTCCGGTGTGACACCATATCCTGATTTTAAATCGGGCAATTCCACAAACAACTTTAATTAGTTGAAGGACCCCATTCAAGGTCATGTTACTGAAGCCCCCTGTGAAGCCCATGACATGTGCACATGGTAAGTTTTTGTCTCAGAATTGTTCAAATATTGTACTTTTTTTGGAACCACTATAAAAGTGTTACGTTTTGTTGTCCTTTGGTGTGACACCCCTAACTTTTGTGTACATAGATAAAGTCTTAGAGTTCAGCTCATGAAAAATTGGGGCAAAAACAAAAGTGTTGCGTTTATAATTTTGTTCAGTATATATATATATAGATATATATTAGGGGTGTCACACCAAAGGACAAAATGTAACACTTTTATAGTGGTTCCAAAAAAAGTAAAATATTTGAACAATTCTGATATATATATACAGTATCTCACAGAAGTGAGTACAGCCTTCACATTTTAGTAAATATTTTATTATATCTTTTCATGTGACAACACTGAAGAAATGGCACTTTGCTACAATGTAGACGCCTAAAACGCCTTGTTCAAACACGCCCCCACATATCTACGTCACGATGTGGAAATATTTGTGTAATGCCGCCCAAATGTGCACGCAAAGAAAGAAGGCATGGTTTCAGGAACACAGTAGTGTTGATGCAGCATGTCAGGCACCAAATACACAAAATAATGGTCTTTAAAATAGCATCATATGACCCCTTTAAATGCAATTATTACGTTAAAATATTTTCTATTGCAGAAAACTTGTGCTGTTATAAAGTGTCATGAAAATAAGTATAAAATGTGATATGTCATTGTTTTAGAAAGGAGGCTTCAGGCTGATACTTCAGACAGAAAGGAGGAAATCCTAAGAGAACAACACATTTTGTTGATGAAAAATTTGTTTTTTAAAAACATGGTTGATTATGTTGTTTGTATCAAAATGATCAGTGTTCTTTCTTCTTAAACAAATGGATTACATTTAAAAAAAGGTTTTGTGGTGGTAAAGTTTCACAAATATTTGCTGTCAAGGAGTCACAGTTCATTTTGTTGATGAATTTGTTTGCTTTGTTTTGTTTAAAAACTTTGAATATGTCAAAGAAGAAAGAAAGTTTATTTTCTATACAATCAATATCAAAGTTAAATAAAAAATATTTAATGCAATACTTCTCACTTTCTCTTTAAAGGCAGCATTAGTATTTGTCTGGAGAGGGGGGAGATGGGGAAAGAGAAAAAAACAAAAACAATAACTAAACATCGGTCGAACTTTATATGACAGAATTTAGCATTTTTTAAGTATTTAGTGTCATATGAACTGTGTATATATAGTATCTGTATGTACTTTGTTACAACTGTATATATATATATATATATTTTTTTTTTTAATTATCATTATTATTATTATTTATTTAGCAATTTCCAAAAAGGGGGAAGGGGAAGCAAAACCTCACATGTCTTTTGTTCTTTTTCTTTTTATTATTATTACCAGTAATGCTTCCACTTCTATACTGTTTTACTATTTAACCAAGACTGAAAATATTGAAAATATTATGTTACAACCAATCAGTGTTACAAGAAATGTGTCTATACTATATTCATATATGGTACAATAGTATATTATTATTAGTAGTATTACTAGAATACATCACAAATGTACTTTTTTTCTTCCTCTTTCTTTCTCATATATTGAAAGGCTGTGGAATATGTCTGTACTACACATTCTACATTTACATGTATTCATATATCTCTTTGGTTTTGATATATTCTTTTTGTCGTTTGTTAATTTCTCTCTATTTTCTGTCATGTGTACTGTCCTATTTTTCAGTTTGTCACATTTTCACATAAAAAAAGAAAAAGAAAAGAAAGAACAAAAGTATTTGTCTGGTCATGTGATCTCAACATGCATTATTGACAAACTATTTTCCTGGTTGACTCTGTAAAGCTGCTTTGACACAATCAGTATTGTATAAAGCGCTACACAAATAAAGCTGACTTGACTTGACATGTCTGTCCACATGTGTGACCCATTCCATGACAGATAAAACGGTTTTATTTAGGCCACTTACATGTCATTCTTCAAAAATATACATTTCGGTTTTGATAAGGATCAGATGACTTCAGCTTTGAGAATGGAAACCAACCTGTTTGTTCCTCAATATCTTCATGTTTCAGTCTGAATGCTTCGTCAATCTACTGTCCTATTTTTCAGTTTGTCACATTTTCACATAAAAAAAGAAAAAGAAAAGAAAGAACAAAAGTATTTGTCTGGTCATGTGATCTCAACATGCATTATTGACAAACTATTTTCCTGGTTGACTCTGTAAAGCTGCTTTGACACAATCAGTATTGTATAAAGCACTACACAAATAAAGCTGACTTGACTTGACATGTCTGTCCACATGTGTGACCCAATCCATGACAGATAAAACGGTTTTATTTAGGCCACTTACATGTCATTCTTCAAAAATATACATTTCGGTTTTGATAAGGATCAGATGACTTCAGCTTTGAGAATGGAAACCAACCTGTTTGTTCCTCAATATCTTCATGTTTCACTCTGAATGCTTCGTCAATCCTCAAGTCGTCACTCTCCTCTTTAATAAACGCCATCTTTACAATAGTCACGTGGATCTCAGTTACTTCACCAGGAGTTTTTCTGCATCTTTGGATACTCCGTCATGTTAAAGATGAGAATAATTAACAGCCAGTCAAGAGTGCTGATTAACGGTCTTAAACACTCCAAAATAGAACTACAAAAGATAACAGAACAAAAAATACATTACATTTTCATTTTTTAAAGCTGCAATTGGTCTGTAAAAGTTCTCAGTGCACCTGTTTGTGTTCTCGTTGCATTTACAGAGTGACCAGCAGGTGCTCGGGGCAGTCGTGGCCTAATGGATAGAGAGTCGGACTTGTGACCCGAAGGTCACGGTTCGAGTCTCAGGTCTGGCAGGAATTGTAGGTGGGGTGTTCACTACTGTGTGTGTGTTCACTACTGCCTGTTTGTGTTCTCGTTGCATTTACAGAGTGACCAGCAGGTGCTCGGGGCAGTCGTGGCCTAATGGATAGAGAGTCGGACTTGTGACCCGAAGGTCACGGTTCGAGTCTCAGGTCTGGCAGGAATTGTAGGTGGGGGGAGTGAATAACCCTCAATACCACGACTGAGGTGGTACCGAACCCCCAACTGCTCCCCAGGCGCTGCAGCATTGGCTGCCCACTGCTCCTGTGTGTGTGTGTGTGTGTGTTCTCACTACTGTGTGTGTTCTCACTATTGTGTGTGTGTATATGTGTGTTCACTACGGTGTGTGTTCTCACTACTGTGTGTGTGTTCTCACTACTGTGTGTGTGTGTGTTCTCACTACTGTGTGTGTGTTCACTACTGTGTGTGTGTGTGTGTTCTCACTACTGTGTGTGTGTTCTCACTACTGTCTGTGTGTGTTCTCACTACTGTGTGTGTGTGTGTGTGTGTTCTCACTACTGTGTGTGTGTTCACTACTGTGTGTGTGTGTGTTCACTACTGTGTGCATGTATGTGTGTTCACTACGGTGTGTGTTCTCACTACTGTCTGTGTGTTCACTACTGTGTGTGTGTGTGTGTGT